CCAGTAACATCAGCATGGTGTACGTGCTGATTGGAGCCACCCAGTTGTCTCAGCCGGGCCCTGGGGCCGTAGTGCGCAATGTCAAGAAGGTGGTGATACACCCGTACTACATTTCTGCTGCCAACTACAGCTACGACATCGCCATCTTACAATTGGACCAGCCTGTTCTCTGCAGCCAATACATCCAGCTGGCCTGTGTGGCTGACCCTGCCCTAAGGGTCTCAGAGCTCTACAACTGCTGGATTGTTGCTGGCTGGGGTTACACCACTGAAAAATGTGAGTTCCAAGAACGACTCCTGAGCCAGTTAAGAGCACTGGGAAGAGGGTTTGGGCTTCCCCACAGCAGAGGCCACAGCCAGGCTGTTGGATGAACACCTCTGCAGAGATGGGCCTGGCCTGCTCCCCAAAGGCAGGGAGTAGGGACACAGCACCCCAGTGCCTCTGCAGAGGGAAAGCCATCCCCTCCCAGACAGATCAGTAGAAGTAGCATGGAGCTGCCAGAGGCTTATTCCTTTCTCTTGCTCACAGCTCAGCAGTCAGCTGATCGCCTCCAGGAGGCCAAGGTCCAGCTCATCGATGTCCAGCTCTGCAACAGCACTGGCTGGCACACAGGGATTGTGCAACCCCACAACTTGTGTGCTGGTTACCCAGAGGGAAACATCGACACCTGCCGGGTAGGAGCGCACCACGAGCCACTCAGCCCCCAGCAGCACCAGCAGCACCACCCCAACACAGCCCAGGACCTGCTTTGCCCGGACACTCAGTCACTCTCCCAGCCCCGGCTACCCCCGACTGCTGTGGGGGCTTCCCACACACTCCCCATCCACACCTGCCTGCACAGGGCCCCCCTTGTGCCTGAAAGCCCAGAAAGCCCAGCTAGTGCTCCTGGCAGCCCAGAGGTGCAGGTGCCAAATGTCCATCCTCTGCACATGCAGGAGCCCTGTGCAGAGAGGACAGAGAGAGCCCTGCCCTACAGAACCCCAAGCCATTCACAGCCAAGCCTCTGCAGGCTCCAGCCCCTGAGCAGAGCCTTCCTCTGCCTGGAATACAGCTCTGGCAGGGGCTGTGAGAGAGGAGGAGACAGCCCCAATGCTGGCAGGGGCCACCAACACCACCTTAATCCTCTCTGCTCTGCTGCAGGGTGACAGTGGTGGTCCTCTCATGTGCCAGGACAACAACGCTGAGTACTGGTGGGTCGTTGGAATAAGCAGCTGGGGAAGAGGCTGCGGCAGACCAAAGTGGCCTGGAGTCTTCGTCTCCACTCAGTACTTCTATGACTGGATCGTGTACAACATGCATGCACATGCTATTGAAAGTGCTTCTTGAGCAGCAGGACAGGCAGGATCCAGAGCAGGCTGCAGAGTACCTCAACCATTTCCTGCTGGGGCAATGCCTGCTGATCCAAAGGCAGCCTCAGGGTCAAAAACCTGCTCTGTCCTACCCACACTCCTCTCATCTGCGCACACAGACACTGGAGTTGATTTAGTTGTTGAAATAAAGTTCCCTTTGTTCACAACAAACCATCTTTTCAGTGTAATTCCTGCTCCTGGGCAAGGCAACAAGTGCCACTCAGCATCTGCAGAATGGGCTGGAGAGCACAAATCACAGAGTAGATCCAAAGAGCCCCAAAGTGCCTGGTCAGAGAGAAGAGTGCTCTAAAACCACCAAGGGTTGGAGGAATCTGGTCCATCAAACCCAGGAAGGGAATAGGAAAAAAGCAGACACTTTTGGGGTGGTGCTCAAAGGCCCATGGGCTGCTCATTAGGGCCTGGTGTGAGCCTGGGCTAAGGGAACAGATCTGGAAAAGTCCCAAGCATGACAAGGGAAACTCCTGGCTCCTGACTGGAGTGCCAGTGCCCCAAGGCAGAGCCAGATTTCACTGGTACTAAGCGGGGATTGATGTACCAGGAGGTCACACTTCCCAGATACCCAAAGGAAGAGCTGGGGTCGTTCTGGGGAGAGGAACCTGGCAGGAACAGTAGGAGAGCACACCAGGAATGCCATGGGAGGCCAAGCTGAGTGGGCCAAGAGCAGCTGCAACACCAAGGCTGTTCACAGGCAGGGCCAGCCTGGGAGGCAGGGGGAAAAGATTCCTGGGCTTGGCTCTGTATTTGGGAGGAGGTGAGGGCAGAGAGAGGGAGGAGTTGAGGAAGATGGGAGGGCTGTATAAGCCTGGCAAATGGAGAGATGCAGCAAAGAGCCAGATGCACAATCTGAAGCTTCCTGTGCTTGTTGCCTGTGTGCTGCGTATAATCACCAGAAGATATGTAAGAAACTTCTTTTCTCATTTCACTTACAAGTCACCTACAAACTTCACAAATTCTCCCCATAATTTTATATCCTTTCAATCAAACCTCAATATTTAGGTTGTTAGGAGAGGGAAAGAAAGAATGGTAGAGGAATGCCATGGGGAAGTCTTGTTGAAGGCAGCTGCTGTCTATAGCACTACATGTTGTTGTGGGTTTTTGGTTTCTTCAGGGCTGTGTTCTGTCTGGAATACCTCCTCAAAAGGGAGTTTCCCTTATCTCAGTTCTGTTTCAGAAAAGATTCTCCAAAGGCTTGTTTGCTTCTTGTTTCTCTTGTTTATTAGTATATAGTATCAAAATACTTGGCAGGTATTCCCCAGACTTTCTGCAGAAGTTCAACCCAACACAGCTTCGATATATATTGATCAAATATCAATATATATCAAATATCAATAGGTATCAACTATCAATATATATATATATATATCAAATATATATGTTTGATATATATTTTGGCTTGAATGGCACAAAATGCCCTCAAACCACAGAGTTATTTTATCTTTAGACTTATTTTTACCCAATTAACAATAGAAAAGTAAATTATTTTCCTTAGCGATCCAATGACCTATTACCTGTGTGCTGCATTGAGGCATTTTCTATCCAATCACTTGTTACTACCCCAAAACCTCTAGAAGATGAAGAAGAAAGAAGGAAAAGAGACAACACCCTAAATCCTCCATCTTGTCTTCTGTTTTCTAAACTAGCTTAAACTCTAACTTTTTCACCTAGTGACTTAAGAAAATTCTCTAATCTACACACTTACACTTTTAGTTTTTCTGTTTAACAGTTGTTTTTAGGGTGTTGTATGAAATTCAGTGTTTTTATTGGAGGTCAGAGTTAGGTATCAGAGACAAGGGCACACACTCTGTCTCAGAATCTAACACTCTTTTCAGGTGAAGGAAAGTGTACCTTGACTTTCTCCACCTAACAGAATGCTTCAAAATGCCTTTTGTTAGGTGTCACTCCATCTGCTTCTGGATACCTTTCTTGGCTTTCAGGCCAATGGAGTCCTCCCTCATGGCAGGTGGCACTCTTTGTGTTAATCAAAATGGGCTATGCTGAGAACAACCACCCCACATCTGTACTGGTCCCTGCCACCCTGCCATAAGCTTATTCAAATATTTCCTGAAGTAAATTTCAGAGGCTGCTTGCTCACTGGAGTCATTGAGTGCAAGAGTGACACTCAAGGCTGGGGATGGCCATTACCCTGCCCAGTGAGCAGATCAGCTTAGAGCTGCCCAATCATCCTTGAACAGCCTTATTGCTCTCCCTTGGCAAAATTCTTCTGCCCAAGCAATTTCTCCCAGTTCTCCAGAACATCGCACACAGATGCCTCCTCACATAAAGCTGGGATATTTCCCATCATATCAAAAAGTACAAGGGACATGAAACTCCTTTTTGCATGCCAAGAAGGGACTTCAGCCCCCTGTGCCTGGGGACCCTAGCACCCACTGTGTGGCACAAGGGACACAAAGCTCTCACTGTGCCTGTCTCCAAAACCCTTCAAGCAGAGACTCAAGCATCCTAGCAGAGACTTCAGCTCTCCCCTCCACCCCTTGCACCTTGGGAGGCCTCCACAACTCCTCTGTGGCCGCCTTACACGGACCATGCTGCACATGCCTTCTCCACCCTCTCTCTACCAGTGATTTCACCAAATCTGCACCAAATGCTGCAACAACAGAGAGGCTCAAATCCACCCTTACCATTTACATAGAATCTGTGCATGGAATTGTAACACTCCCCCTTTGGCTCCATTCTGCTCTAAAAATCCCAGGTAAACTCACCTGCTGCACGTTTGGAGAAGGGGGGCTCCAAGTGTACTTCTCTACAGTCCTGTCTGGGATGCCATAGCGCTGAGGAAACTCCTTTGGAGAAGGGGGGCTCCAAGTGTACTTCTCTACAGTCCTGTCTGGGATGCCATAGCGCTGAGGAAACTCCCCCGTGTGACTATTCCAAGGCAAGGGTTGCTCCAGCGAGCTAATGGATGCTCCATTTAATTCCCTACCCATTCCACTGTCACCCAGACAGAGCAGATTTCCACACCCATTCAGCCCCATGAATCCCCCAGCATACTTGCCATCAATGTCATGTTCAATAAAGAGCCACCGGCTCCTGCTGCCACACTCAGTGTCCATTTCAAACCCCTTCTTACAAGGGCAGGTCCTGACAGGACAAGGGGCAATGACTTTACAATGACAGAGGGTAGTTTTAGATGGGATATTGGGAAGGAATTCTTGACTGTGATGCGGCTGAGATACTGGCATCCCAGAGCAGATGTGGATGCCTGTTTCTCATGTAGGCAGCATAGGCACAGAAGACACAGACACCAACTTCAGGAATAAATATAATTTACTATAATTCAAAACTGCAAAAAATTGCAAATGGATAAGTAAGCAGGACATCAAATCATTAGCAAATATTTACAAAAAGATAAGACAGGCAACCCATCTAATGATTATTATAAAAGGCTGCCTACAGTGATGAAGACACATGACAAGTTACCCTACTCTTCAACTATCATCCAGGTCTGTCATATCAGGTGGGGGAAGCCACTGTCACTATGTTCAAGGACAGCTTCTGAGCCAAGCTCTTTTCCAGTGCAAGATATCCCCCTGAGAGGAAAAACTGTGGCTCTGCTGGTAGATAAAACTAACACTGGGAGATAAAAGAAACAATGGGAAGGATTGAAGAATGGAAAAAAATATATTTGCCTTTACAAGCAAACTGTATATTTGTTGATAAATGAAATTGGATATTGAAAAATAAAAGAAACAATGGAGAAATAAATTCCATAAGAATTAAAAATTAAGAGAGAGGGTTACACATTTGAGGGAATCTTAAATACTTGAGAAGTCTGTACCTCTCAAGCACCACAGCCAATAAGGAAAGAGAGAGGGGCATGCAGCCAGGAAATTAGGACAAAAAGGAGGCTGCATCCTCCAAAAATTTGAGAGACCCCAGGAGAATGCCCCATGGCCTCTCCCGTTATTCGAATAAAGTAAAAGGACTCCTCTTCCTCCTTTCTGGACATCAACCTCTGGTGTTTGTGGATTAATTTTTCTGACATCTCAATGCCCGAGGCAAGGGTATCAGAGCTAGATGATCTCCGAGTTCCCTTCTACCAGAAACCATTCTATGGCACCACAATTATATGTTGCCCCTCCTCCAGTGGGCCCACCATGGCCCAGACCCCCCTCCAGCACTCAGAACATGGAACCCACCGCTCTGTGACATCAGCCCCGGCACCGAGGGCACCAAGGACACCGTGGCTGCTGTGGGCATTGCGGCTGTGGCTGTGCTGCTGCACGGAGCCCTCAGTGCTTGCTGCTCACACGAGCCTCTGGCAGCCATGAACTGGCTCAGCCTCCTCGTCCTGATGACCGTGGCCGGGCTGGTGCACGGGACATGGGACAATTGTGGGTAAGTGGCCCCAGGCCCTGGCAGGGAGCCACGGCAACACTTGGGGCCTTCCCTGCAGGGGCCCCGCCTGTCCCCCATGGCCGGGCCACAGCTTCCCACCCACCATGGGACAGCCTCAGCTCCTTGCCAGCAGCCAGGTGCTGGCACGGACAGACACACACCCCATGGGCTTCCCTGGCCTGCTGTGCCTGCAAGCCCTTGTGGGGAGGGCAGAGGGCTGAGCTTCAGCCTGAGCCACAGCAGGCCATGGAGCAGCATGGAAATTACTTTCTGCCTGCAGAGGAACCTGTGGGCTCCGAGCTGTGGTGTCTGACTATGGCCTCATGACTTACTACTATGGCAACCTGGCTTATGACAACGGCATGACACGCATTGTGGGTGGCACAGGTGCCCTGCCAGGGGCCTGGCCATGGATCGTCAGCATCCAGCATCCCTGGGCACCAGACCGGGGGCATTGGTGTGGAGGGTCTCTCATCGGCACTCAGTGGGTCCTCACAGCAGCCCACTGCTTCGACAAGTTTGAGTAAGTAGGAGGAGGGAATGGGGACATCCCCACAACACCAGCAGGTGCCCTGCCACCAGCACCACCTGCTACTCCCCTCCCCTTTCCTCTCAGGCAGCCCAGCTGCCACACTGCTCAGGAGAAGCCCGGCCTTGTGCCAAGGCTTCCCAGCAGCTTCCAGCTTGACATTCTCCCAGCCTAACTTGTGCAAGGGCACTCACACCTGCCAGAGCCCTGCTCCCTCTCTGCCTTGCCATGCAGAGGTCTGGCAATTGCTGGGCTGCTGTGGCACATGGCTCTGCTCCCCCTCAGACCTCTCTCCATCTCCTTTCCAGTAACATCAGCATGGTGTACGTGGTGATTGGAGCCACCCAGTTGTCTCAGCCGGGCCCTGGGGCACAAATACGCAGTGTCAAGCAGTTGGTGATACACCAGTACTACAATCCTGCTGACATGAGCTATGACATTGCCTTGCTGGAATTGGACCATCCTGTCCTGTGCAGCCCCTACATCCAGCTGGCCTGTGTGCCTGATGCCACACTGAGATTGTCGGAGCTGCAGAACTGCTGGGTTGCTGGCTGGGGTTCCACCGCTCCAAGAGGTGAGTTCCCAGGAGAGACTTCTGAGCTAGCTCAGCACAGTGGGGAGAGGGTTTGGGCTTCCCCACAGCAGAGACCAAAGCCAAGCTGCAGTATGTTCACCTCTGCAGAGATGGGCCTGGTCTACTACCCAAAGGCAGGCAGCAGCTCCAGTTCCTCTGCAGAGGGAAAGCCAAGCCCTAGGGAAGAGGATGCCCTTCCCTAATCAGGAGAGGTTGTTGAGTGGTTTGTGGGAGGTCTTTGAATTTTTAAGGAGATAAGAATAATTGTTGGTTGTTATAAAGATGTTTATTGTATGAATGTATTAGTTTTGAAGGTAAAGAGATTAGAGAATTAAAGTCTTTGTTAAAGTTTTTGGTATAAAGTCCTGAATTCTGAATAGTAGCTTCCCAGCATAGAGCTCCGTTAGTAGAAGTAGTTGCAGTAGGTCTTCTTCAGGTGATGATAATGGTGGAGTTATTATTATTTGTGCATGTTTTATCCTAATACAGGTGATTAAATTTATAAATCATTCAATCAGCTAAAAACACAATTCTAAAACATTCTTTCTATACTGATCTCACTCTTAATATACAAAGTTAGTGTCATTTTTACTTAAATGCTATGTATAGAGCATTATTTTTTGTGTGAATAATCTTATCTGTTTTATTTAAAAATGCAAGCTATGTTTTTATTGTGTTTGGGACTAAGTTGAATCTGTGAAGGGTACATTACTGAACTTTAAACTATGGTTTAGGGCTTTTCACTAGCTAACACAGACTCTTAAAGTATTTAAGCTATATTTCTATTTATTTAAAAGTTAAACTTTCACTCTTACTTTATATCTGTGGGTTAATATATTTAAGTTTCTCTAAAGGCTTTAATTCAATCCTTGTATTTCTTTTCCTCCCTGAGGGACTCAAAGGAGTTTTTACTTCATGCATTCCAACAAGAGGAGAATGTGCAATGTGGTGCTCAGGGTTTATTCCTTTCTCTTCTAACAGCTCAAGAATCAAGTGATCACCTGCAGGAGGCCAAGGTCCAGCTCATCGATCTGCAACTCTGTAACAGCAGTGGCTGGTACGCTGGGAAAATCCATACCCACAACTTGTGTGCTGGTTACCCACAGGGAAACATCGACACCTGCCAGGTAGGAGCGCGCCACGAGCCACTCAGCCCCCAGCAGCACCAACAGCACCACCCCAACACAGCCCAGGACCTGCTTTGCCCGGACACTCAGTCACTCTCCCAGCCCTGGCTACCCCCGACTGCTGTGGGGGCTTCCCACACACTCCCCATCCACACCTGCCTGCACAGGGCCCCCCTTGTGCCTGAAAGCCCAGCAAGCCCAGCTAGTGCTCCTGGCAGCCCAGAGGTGCAGGTGCCAAATGTCCATCCTCTGCACATGCAGGAGCCCTGTGCAGAGAGGACAGAGAGAGCCCTGCCCTACAGAACCCCAAGCCATTCACAGCCAAGCCTCTGCAGGCTCCAGCCCCTGAGCAGAGCCTTCCTCTGCCTGGAATACAGCTCTGGCAGGGGCTGTGAGAGAGGAGGAGACAGCCCCAATGCCGGCAGGGGCCACCAACACCGCCTTAATCCTCTCTGCTCTGCTGCAGGGTGACAGTGGTGGTCCTCTCATGTGCCAGGACAACCACGCTGACTCCTGGTGGGTTGTTGGAGTGACCAGCTGGGGAAGAGGCTGTGCCAGAGCAAAGCAGCCTGGAGTCTACATCTCCACTCAGTTCTTCAGCAATTGGATTCAGGTCCATACCGGCTCAAACACAGTTAGAAGTGATTCTCCAACATCACAAGCCTGGAGTCATTTTCTGACTGCCCACCAAACAACCCAGAAGCCATGGTCAACACGACCCCCCACTTATAAGCCATGGACAACACCACCTCCCACTTATAAGCCATGGACAACACTACTTCCCACTCATAAGCCATTGCCAACATCATTTCCCTCTCATAAGCCATGGACAACACGACCCCCCACTTATAAGCCATTGCCAACATCATTTCCCACTCATAAGCCATGGACAACACGACCCCCCACTTACAATCCATGGCCAACACCACTTCCCACTCATAAGCCATGGCCAACCCAACCCCCCACTCATAATCCATGGCCGACACCAATCCCCACTCAGCAGCCATTGCCAACACCCTCTCAAAAGCCTTTGCCAACAGCGCTCCCCACTCAAAAGCCAACACCATCAAATGAGGCTAGCTCCTGCCCATTTCCACTCAACAAGCTGGTAGACTTCTTTACTAAAGTGAAGCAGCTCCTTCGTGAGGTCCTTGGACAAAACACAGCTTGAGGCAGGATCCAGGGCAGGCTGCAGAGTACCTCAACCATTTCCTGCTGGGGCAATGCCTGCTGATCCAAAGGCAGCCTCAGGGTCAAAAATCTGCTCTGTCCTGACTACACTCCTCTCCAGTGTGCAGGCAAATACTGGAGTTGTCTAAGTTGTTGAAATAAAATTACCTATGCTCAAAGTGAATCAGTGCAGTTCCAACTCCTGGGCAAGACCCACTGGGACAAAGGGACAGAGTGGAACCAAAGTGCTCCAAAGTGCCTGGTCAGAGAGAATAGTGCTCTGAGCCATCATGGGCTGGAGGAACGTGGTACATTAAGCCTAGGAAGAGGGTAGGAAAATATTTTTGTTAAGGCTCCAGTATTTGTTGAAAACTCCTACGACACATTACTGTCTCACTGTACTCAAGATAAATTCCTCTCATAGTAACTATTTGTGAGAAGAGTGTTGCTTTTCTACAGCACTCACTGCTCCCTTACATCATTACCCCTTCTCCTCAGTGGGAAAATAGGCATTTGCTTTGCAATGCAGATACCAGTATTATTACTTTTATTTTTTCATTTATCAGGTCCATTTTTTGCATCTCACCAGTGCCTGAAATGTGCTCTGTTCTCTAAAAATCCTAATACAAAAGGAAAAGTTAGGGGAGGGAGTTGAAAATCCCTCAAACAAAGCACACCTTAAGCTGTGATATTCATAAGCACAAGCAAACCTAAATTTCCATACTTCGTGGCCGTTCGGGACTGAGGGAAGCCGAAGGCTCTCATAGCTGAGCTGGTTGCAGCCAGCCCAAGCGACGCCCCCTGGCTCTTCATCTCTCACCCGGACAGCCCTTCGCACCCGGTACCGGCGGGGCCGCCTCGGCCTCGCTCGGATCAGACCCCAGCTCCGGTTTCCTCCCTCCCTCGGGAAACGACCTCGGCTGCAGTGGCTGCTCCTCTGAGCCCCGGACACGCCCTGACCGCCGGCTCCGCTCCGCAGCGGCTCTGGGCCGAGACCTCCCCGCCGCGGTACCAGGGGCGCCGGTCCCGCACCTCTGGTGATCCCTTGCTCTGCCGACTCGGTGTTTCTCTCCACCTCGCCCGGCCAGGGATGGGACATCCACAGCTTATCTGAGCAACCTGTTTCAGAGCCTTATCATTCTCACACTGAAGAATCTCTCCCTTAAATCTACTCTAAATCTATAGTTTCCATTTAAAACCATTCCCCCTGGCCCCATACCTACAGAACCTAGGTCTAAACCAAGTAAACCAATACTGTTATACCCTTAATCAATAGCCTGCTGAAGCACTCTTGCACTCAGTGAAAGTCACCCTTTGCATTATGCCTAGCACCAAAACTCAAAGCCAATGGAGGGAAAGGAAAAAAAAATATTATGACATGTATTATTCATGAAATGGCACAAATTCCACCTGTTCTCCATCTCAGGTGCTGCAATCCAAAACACTTTCCTGCCCCATGCATTTAAAGCCCATGCCCACTCCCCACACTGCTGCATCCTCCAGTAAACACTTCCAGCCTCCCCATCCAAATCACACAAATGTAATTCAATCTATGCTAATTCTCCAATTAATTCAGTATTGTGTTCTCCAACATTCTAACCTCAGCTGACATGAAAAGCAGGCACCCATTTGTACACTGCGATGGCAGAACAGCTGAATGCTTAATGACCTAAGTAGTTCAATTCACTGATGATTATTAAATCCTAGAAACGTTTCCAAAGTGAAAAGTTTCCAAAGTGAACTGTAGGCATTTCCCACCACACAAACTAAATGTGAGACTATGAGCTTTATTTTAGAATTAGTGGAAAAACTTGCTAATGTTTGATTTTCTTCAAAGGAAATAGATGGTTTCAACAGACTCTAAAAATGCTTTGTTAAAAAATCTTATTAGTTATGCCTTACTCAGCTAACACTTAGCCCAAATTGAGTCTGTTCCTTGGAGTTCTTCCAGCTACCCACATGGCTCCTCTGCCAAACTGCCTTGTCTTGAGCCTGATGTTTTCAAGTCTGGTTCTTCTAATACTCCAGTCATCTGAGTGCAGTGAAACCTTCAAAGACTGGACTGTCACCTGTGCTCAGAAATGCATTGCAGCTTTTCATCCTCAACCCTGCAAAGCAGCACCCTTGCTCAATGAGAATATTTACTAGGAATTCATATATCTATGAAATGTGGAACTAAGCTGATTTTAATACTTGGAACCAAAACTTCACCAAAGTTTCAAAAATGCCCACATAAGCTCCACTTTATGGCAACCTTGAGAGCATTTGATGAGTACACTCTTGACATTTTAGAAAGCAGGGCAGAGTATTGTGATTGCCAATTACAAGGTTACATTGCACCCCTAGTTCTGCCAGGGTATAACCTATAATTAAAAAAAAAAAATAAAAGCGGTAACCCAACAAAATCTCTCAACCACAGGGAAACCCTGTGGTGGTGTATTTTGAGGTGGTCTGTGGGTCTGGGTCATTGGAGTCAACTGCCTGGCTAAGAGTACATTTGAGGCATGTAACAGCACTCCCCCAAAATCCATGGTCTGTCAGGTCTGATTGTTTACAGCAGCCACATAATTGCATAAATTGCTTTCACTTCCTGTTCACTATATACAACTCAAAGCAATCAAATAACAGAGTTTGGGCAACATTAGCCCTTATAACCTATTCCTTAGCACAAACATGTCATTACATTAAATATAATGATGATTGTGATTGTGATTGTGATTGTGATTGTGATTATGATTATGATTATTGTTATTGTTATTATTGTTGTTATTATTGTTATTGTTGTTTTTATTCTTATTCTTATTCTTATCTTATTCTTATTCTTATTCTTATTCTTATTCTTATTCTTATTCTTATTCTTATTCTTATTCTTCTTCTTCTTCTTATTATTATTATTATTATTATTATTATTATTATTATTATTATTATTATTATTATTATTATTATTACTTAGGGGTGCATATCATATAAGAGCATTTAATTCTATAATGGTTTGGGTTGGAAGGAACTTTCAAGATCATGTTGTTCCAACCCCTGACATGGGCAAGGACACCTTTACTAGACTAGGTTGTTCAGAGCCACATCCAACCTAGTCTTGAACACTTCCAGGGATGGGGCATCAACAGCTTTTCTTGGAAAGCTGTCCCAGTGCCTCACCACCCTCACAGTAAAGAATTTTTTCCTAATATCTCATCTAAAACTACTCTCTTAGTTTTTAGCCATTCCCCCTTGTCCTGTCACCATATTCTCTTGTAAATGATCTCTCTCCATCCTTCTCGTAGACTCCCTTCAGATACTGGAAGGCCACTGAAGTTTGCAAAATAGGTTGTATAGAAGCCAATTTTATAAGTCTTCAGATAAGCAGGCAGTGAATTGCAAACTTCACTGTTTTTCATTTTACCTGTTCAATACAGGACATTAGGCTTTAATTTCCCTGAATTTGAGTCCCAAACACAAAACCAACTTGTGTCAATGAAGACAGGAATCAGGTAAGAACCTGATCCAGTTCCTCCTAGTGAAAAGTTTCCACTAAACTTGCACCTTTATTAAGAGAACAACGATATGCAGCAAAACAATGAAGTCTCCTCACACAACAGAGGAACCTCTACAAAACCAATACATGTTCTACCTGCAAGCCATGTTCTACTCGAAAGTACCACTGCAAGATGCCCCTGGGCAGAGATGGAAGGAAGAGGTCACCTGTTATCCTACCTGACTATAAGACACTGCTGCCTGAACTCATATGGATGCTAAATCTGAACCAGAGTGCCTGTAGTTATTACAGGCCACATAGCTCTCAGGCCTGACTGAAGGCTAGCCTGAGAAATTCATGAGAAGGAATTAAAACAATTCTCAGAGGTACTAAACAGCCTTGCAGGTGTTGTTTTGCAGCCTGTTGTTTCTCCTTGCAGGAGAGAGTCAGGGGGGGGCAAAGTGCCCCTGACCAATGATGGTGATGTAGTACTTTGTTAACCAATAAGAGTTTCCTTTCTGTACTTTTTCCACGTATCTGTCTATAAGACAGGACTGAAGCAATAAACTAGAGAATTCTCCTGTTGTGACTCCCTTGAGAGTCCATTGTCGTTCCTTTCTAGCCGTTCCCAATCGGAACGACAAACTCACACTGTTTTTACTCTCTGTGGCATGGAATGTCCCCTACAAGATTTCTATGAGAAGCTGAATTCAGCATAATGTCTGCAAAAATGGTTCCTATGAAGTACAGTTAAAACAATCATGAGAATCCCTTTGTTTCCATGGCACCTTGGAAAAACCTACAGACTAGGAGAGGAAAAAAAATCCCAACTCTCAAAAAAGCATCCTCTCTACAAAGATGAGTGGACAACTCCAACAACATCACTCACTGGAACTGCACCCTTACCAGCGTATTGAAGTCAGAACTTGATGGAATACTTTTGTAGTTCTTTTCAAAACAAGTATTTTTCCACAGACACTTTTTTTCTAATGCAATAGCAGTTCAAAAAAGTGATCCAAACATTTATCCTCTGATTAATACCCACGAAGAGTTGATTCCATACATTTCAGTGACTCTATAATCACAAACATGCCAAACTCCTTTAGCTCAGACGTGATTTTAACTCAAACTAATATTAACTTTGCATATGACATCAAGGGAATTTGCAACTGTGGTCAGAGCTTCAAACATCTCTGCTCTGAAGTATTTAATATTCAATGCATAAGAGTGGAATTCTTCATGCTACCCCCAAGGGTAGAACTGTTACACTCTTACTTAAGACCATGCTGACCTCTCTTGTTGAAGTTCCTTTATAATTTCAGGAAATTTAAGGCTCTGTAATGATATCAAATCACCACACAGCCTCAGATTGGCATCAAGGTACAAGGTATTGTCTTTCTTTTCAGCCCCCATCTCATTTGCTTTTTCTATCTGTATGCCCTCCAAAATACACATTAATTTTCATCAACAGCTTATATTTTGTGAATATAAAAGAAGGAGTATTTCTATGTTAGCCCCCAAATGAGACAGACACCCTCCAGTGAGAGAGCACAAGGATGTATCTAGAAAACAGAAGCATTTTTGGATTATACATGGAAACTTCAATATCAGATTGCATCTCAATGTAAGGATGGATCTCTTCTACCAAAGTTTCATGGAGCAGCAGCATGGACAAGCATGATTCATGAGTGGCACAACTTACCACCATACAC